ATTAGTTGCCCTCAGTAGAATTTCTTCACTTTGGCATTAAAAGAACCGAAAAGTTAAACCCAAAGGAATAAAGAATGAGATGTTATTGCTTCAAAAACACCATAGAATATCATTGATCTCAATAATATTGGTTGTTAAGGGATTTGTTAACATGAATTATATTAACGTTCATATTTTTGCGATCTTTTTTACTGTGCACATTTGATCTCAGCTTTAGATAAAACAATCTAAGTATCAAAATATACGGACATAAGAATTGGCTTTAATCTTTTAAACAAAACCATGACATCTTCACAAAGAAAAATAACATAAAATTTTAATAATTACCGCTGTAAAATTAAAATTAGTTTTGAAGTAATGCAAAATAAAATATAAACTATGAAGATGATGTTCTGAAATGTGTATAGTGCCACCTACTGGGAAAAATGACCGTGATTCATTACCGAAAACAAGAGGAACAGTAGGTGACTTACGACAGTCAGAAACAGCAAGACAACGGAAAAGAAAGCAATTATAACAGTAAAGACAACAAACAAGGCAGAAAACTTAGCACACCAATAAAAAATATTTACAAAGACTTACATTTCTCAGGTTCACTGGTGTAAAACCTAAGTGTTACTTAGAACTTAAAAATGTCTGTTGCTTATTTGAAGATAGGAAGAACAATGCCTACTTTTTGTTGTTGTTGAATTTCACGCAAAGCTACTTGAGGACTATCTGCATTAACCGTCCCTAATTTTGAAGTGATAACGGACTGACCGCACATTATAATGGTCCAACAACTGCAAGAGTGAGGCTGTTTGGCAATTAAATTCGAACTCGCGACCCGCAGATTGCAAGTCGATTGCCCTAACCACCAGGCCTTGCCAAGGCCCTTGCTTTTCTGAAGTTTAGTAAATACTCCGAGTAACGATTAGCAGCATATTGTGTATATCAACAGTTCCCAAACCTTCTCAGTACAAGCACCCTCTAGGACATTCCGCATACTGACTGAGTCCCCACTCCACCCTATCCAATAGGACATTCCGCATCCACTCCACCCTATCCACTGAATCTTTAAATACTTAGTACATTACTTTCATTGCAAAAAATATATTTAAAGAATAAACGAAACACCAATTTTTAAAATAACATTATTGTGTATTTGCGAAGGCCACTCCGAAACCTTTACTGGGACCCCAGTTTGGGAACCTCTGGTCTAGATTGTCCGTCTAGATGTACGACACCACGGATACCCTATTAGAATACCACATGCTCCCGCACAGATACTGAATCCTCGTGATGTATCTCATATTTTGAAGAAAGTTTCATATTCACATATTCTGTCTCATAGAACACAGGGTTATTCTGCTAGAAATAACAGCGTCGTTAAAACCTAGCTACAAGACGGCACAGCTAAGCAGTCTGGTAGATCAACTGTTCTTGTAATTCTCAGTAAGAAGTATACAAAATCCTAACAAAAGTTTGTACAATATACCGTGATGTTTTATAAAGTCACGAGAAGAGTTTTTACTCCAATTGTTTTGTCTACTTAATTGATGTGTAATAAATAATGTTTAAGAAAATAACAAATAAACATTTACAAGTTAATGAAATAGCGGCGACAATCGGATTATGTCTAACAGACGACATGTACTGAACCAATAGTATTAATAACAGCCACACAAGGATTATAGAACAGATTGGATTAGTCTATTCCATATCTAGAAGATCAGGATTATATGACATATTAGATTAGTCTATTCCACATCAAGATAGTCAGGATTATAGGATAGATTAGATTAGTCTAGTCCACATAAAGAGGGTCAAGATTATAGGATAGATTAGTCTATTCCACATAAAGAGGGTCAAGATTATAGGATAGATTAGATTAGTCTATTCCACATAAAGAGGGTCAAGATTATAGGATAGATTAGTCTATTCCACATAAAGAGGGTCAAGATTATAGGATAGATTAGTCTATTCCACATAAAGAGGGTCAAGATTATAGAATAGATTAGATTAGTCTATTCCACATAAAGAGGGTCAAGATTATAGGATAGATTAGATTAGTCTAGTCCACATCAAGAGGGTCAAGATTATAGGATAGATTAACCTAGGTAGGTTTTCAATTCTAACATCTATTAATTAATAAATTATAAATTGATTATGGATAAAAAGACAAAATTCTGATACCAATTTCTGAAGCATCGAATTATCTTAAATGATTTATCTACCTAGAATTTCATGATAACACGCTCTGGAGAACTTACATCGAGCAGAACTATCAGAACATGGAAAGAGATTCTGAAACTTTGATATCATATCAGGGCGCAATGATTCATTCACGTGAGGAATTATCAGATAAATAAATGAGAGAGAATTTTACGAAAACAGAAATTGCGGTAAGCTAACCTGTTATTCGATGTACCTAGTTTTAATAAAGAAAATTAAAAAAAAAGTTTACATAAATAAATCCCAAAGTAACTTCACGAAGTTTCTTTTGTATTTCATGATTAAATAAACTCATTTATCGTGTTGTGTTTGGGGTGAATCTATTGATAATTTATATTTGTCTCTACGTGTATTTAGTCATCTTTATAACAATTACACGTAATGATACAATCTCGAAAACAAATCACGTGTTTTTTATCATTCTACATAACGTATGTTATGCACTACTTCGATCTTATCGTTCAGGCCTAATCCAACCAGAAAAGGCCACTACCTAGCAATAATTATCAGTTTAAAAAAATCTTTGTGCAATCTAACCAAATCGAAAAAATATCTGTGTAACTCATTAACTTACATATGAATTCCAAGGTTTACAATAAAGCAGATTTCTTTGAGCTCCTTTCCTACTGACATCTTCTAAACCTAATAAGATATTGTTACGACAGCGGAAGTCATGTGACGCTGGAAGCATGCGCGCTGGAATTTCTAGAAGAATCATGACTGTTCCTGGTAACTCTAGTCTTTTCTAGGCGCCCTTTTATACTTCAAATGAAGTTTACAGAGGAGTAACTATTTTTAGAAAAATTACGCTCGTTACACGGACGGGCGAGGGTATATTTATAACATTACGGTTTTAAAACGGTAACGCAACCGAAATGGACAACACTTTTTAAAATTTGACCTTTATTAACAAATATACGGAAATAATCTTTTTAAACGTACATTATTCAATATTATGGCTGTTGCTGTTATATCAAAGATAGATATAATTTTCTCTGCCGTAACAGTAACATTGAAATGTACATCGACATATTGGCCTATATATACATTGAAATGTCTATCAGTGCAATATTGTGTTTCCTGAAATAAGTATGTTTAAAATAAGAAATTCAGAGGATTAATATTTTTACTTCGGTGCTCAGCATATTTTATCAAGTGCATTATTTTCTGTCAAGTAATTGAGACTTTTCAGTGGCATTCCTTTTTAATGTAACTGAGGAAATTCACCTGCCATTTAACACTTAATGTTGACTAAACGTTCCTATTTTATGTAACTGAGGACATTCACCTGCCTTTTAACACTTAATGTTGACTAAACGTTCCTATTTAATGTAACTGAGGAAATTCACCTGCCATTTAACACTTAATGTTGACTAAACGTTCCTATTTAATGTAACTGAGGACTTCACCTGTCATTTAACACTTAATGTTGACTAAACGTTCCTATTTAATGTAACTGAGGAAATTCGCGTATTAATTAACACTTAAAGTTGACTAAACGTTCCTATTTAATGTAACTGAGGAAATTCGCGTATTAA